ATCAGAAAGAAGCCCTGGAAAAAATAATTTACATAGTCCCACTGGAATGGGTCAGAATCCCGAAAAAAGGGCCCACGATAATCCCAAGTGATTGGGTGTCCTTATCAGACCAACCAGGATTAGTTGGAAAGGTAGAAGAAGTTCGAACTACAGGAGACATTTGGTTGTCCTTATTTGATCTTGGAGAGGATGGTTACTTGAGAACAAGATCAAAACAGCAAACAGGATGGTTCAAAAAAGAAAGCCTATTTAGGATCAGGGTCCTAATAATCTAAGAAAAATGGTTAGCTTATAAACCAAACACTCCCATCTCACACCTTCCACTAGATCCAGCTGGTTGGTCATGGTCCTCGTCGTCTACCAAATGATGCTCTCATACCAGAATGCTTCATACACTGTCAGTTAAGTCCACTTACAAGATGCTCCGGCCCAACATTAATATAAAGGACAAAATAGTAGACCGATGGATGAGGCACCTAAATATAAGCAAATAAGAGTTGCGTCCAGTAAAATGGTTCCATACCATTAAAGCAAGACCGACCAAAATGGCTTCACTTCAGTGGCAAATAACTCATCGTTGCTTACCCACAAATGACTGGATTATCGATAGAACTTCACTAGAACAAAGGGGAATAACCCTACCCTGGTATAAGTTCTGCAAATCAGCATTCCCAGCTAAACTAATTCCGAAAACTATAGAACATATATTTCTGCAATACCCAGGATCTATATGGCTATGGCACTGGTGGGACAAAATTTGGAATAAAGTACGAACATCCCTCCCCTGGCCCTGGGACTGTAAAGCGCTGCTCCTCGAGTCCTGGAACCCAATTCAAGTGGATAATTTCACATCCAATTTATTTACAATTGGAAGAGGAGCAGTCATCTGGGCATTATGGAATCGTAGATGTACCTACGAAATGGAGAGTGCTCGCCTTGATGGTCCAAAATTTACAGAAACCATCAAACAACAAATCCAATTAGAAATCATTATCAGATGAGAATCCCTGAAGGAGAAACTCAAATTTATGAATTCAGTTAAGGATATTAGGCATCACATCCAAACATTCAATCAAAATTGGCTTGGAGGGGGACAAGGAGGAAAGTTGGGGCAAGTTAAATGGGAAGGAATACAAGGCAGCGATCAGGATGGGCCTCCAAGGAATTACCGGCTATGCTTCAATGATTGGTGTAACATTGACCCCATCATTCCAATGAGATCTGCATCAAAATTTACGGATCCTTTTCCTTCTGCAGGTCTGGCCTTAGTTCCCAGATCATGGTATACGCCAGACTCAGAATAAATACTAACGTTCATGCCAATATTTTACTTGTCAGGCAGGCTATCTGGCAAGCTATCAGGCTTAACTCCCAATCAAGTAGGCTGCAAGTGCTAGGTGGCTATGCAGATATGGCGCCCGTAAGGGGTGAAGAGGCACAATGTTTTTTTTCTTTCTATCTTGACCCAGCATGAGCAGTACCTTGTCCTTCAAGTTTTATGATATCAATAGACGCTGGACCCGGTTTCTAGCAAGTGCAGCTCCCCACCAATGGAACGGAACCGGCCCTCAGGTACTAGTGGTGTCTGCTCTTATCAACATCACTAACACTGAAGGGGTATTGGNAAAAAAAAAAGGCTACAAAAACTGAAGCTAATGAGGTTGGACAAGGTCTCGACCATCGAAAAAACGAAGCTTTTCATCGATGCATGTCTTCGTCACTCTGTACATCATGGTTCCTTGAGCTCCAACGGACCTTGCAAGGTCCCTTGGGTATAAGGAAAAATTGGTTGGGGTCACAAGGACGTCAAAATGAATTTTCATTGTGACTTTTTAAACTTTTTTTTCAATTTCGTCCCCAAGGATAGGTGGAATGAGCATATACTTGTGGATTTCACGTCCTGAAGGAGTGTCTAATGACGCCCAAAGTCAGAAAAACTTGGGAGGAACATAAAGATTCTTTCAAACATAAGTCGTTAATATTAGAAATCCTGAGGGCTATTCAGGAGGTCAGCGAATGGCTAGGTAAAGCCTCCAAGATTGAAGCAACTACGAGAAAGGAGAGATAAACCTAACTAGAGGCCAACTTGATAAAAAATCCAGGAGTACCAATGTATGAGGTCTCTGTGTAAACTATGTTTTTGTTTTGTATTTTCCTACTTTTATGAGTTGTCGGAGGAAAAGCAACTGGACCGACACTCCCCGGACAAGGAACCAGGACCATTGGACCTTAATGACTTGTTTATATAGGTATATGTACATTCATGATATATATATATATATATATATATATACATATATATAAACAGTTTGTCATAGCCCCTCGTTTCTTGTCTTGTTTTCCCTCTCTGCCTACGGTTTACCAGACAACTCTGTTTGACAATATCTATCTATCTATCTATCTATCTATCTATTATAACCTCCTCATGAGTCGGTCCGACGAAACAGTTTGTCACAACCCTCGTTTGTTGTCCTCTTCTCCCTCTCTGCCTGCGGTTTACCGAGCAATTCTGTTTGACTATATATATATATATATATATATATATATATATATCGGTTTCAGCCACCCGATGAGTCAGTGAAACTCCGACGAAATAATTTGTCACAAAATAATTTATCCCTCTTTGTCTACGGTTTACCGGGCAACTCTGTTTGACTATATATATCGTCAAACAAAACTGTCTGGTAAACCGTAGGCAAAGAGGGAGAAAAGGAGAACAAAGGAGGGGTTGGGACAAACATATATATACATATACATATACATATACATAGGGTTCAACCTCCTGATGAGTCAGTGAAACTCCGACGAAACAGTTTGTCACAACCCCTCGTTTGTTGTCCTCTTCTCTCTCTCTGCCTACGGTTTACCAGGCAGTTCTATTTGTGACGATATATATATACATATATATATCATGTATAATATATATACATATATGTAGATGTCACCATAGAGACGATATATATATATATCATGTATAATATATATACATATATGTATATGTCACCATAGAGAGTTGTCGAGCAAACCATAGGCAAGGCTTGAGAAGAAAACAACAAACGAGGGGTTGTGACAGGCGTTTTCACTAGAGTTTCACTGACTCATTAGGAGGCTGAAAAAATATACATTTATATGAATGCATATGCATAAACAATGTATGAAACCCTATTAACCTCAACAAAAGAGGAGCTGAGTCAGTGGGCATTATGGAATAGGTAGGGTTTATCGATCAGAGCCTGATTAAAAGATTGAGAGAGTAATAAAGTATTAAACAAATTATTTTTCTAAAAAAGTAGGGCTAACCCGACTAAGAATTGTAACAATAGAATCCTTGAATGAAGAGACCATTACGCAGAGCTACAAAACCAACCAGGAAGGACTCTTAAAAGCGACAACTAAGTTCTTTAGAACCATTATACACAAAAAAATCTCAAATATGGATGAAGGAAGGGTTGTTCACGCACCACATAAGTCTCTCAAACACCTTGAAGTTAGTATAAGACATTTAGACAAAGAATTCACTACGAAAGACCAAAGTGGAAGTAGGCGAGAGAAAAATAGATAGGGAAAAATTGATCCCTTGAAAAAGGACGATGTACATAAGGTATTGAAAGGGGAATGATTGATGAATGGGGGCACTGTTTTAATCCAAGATACAACTTTGAAGTTCCAAAATTGGTGTAAAAAAAAATCATTTAGCAAGAACCTAAGGCGAGGATGATTTGGCGATGCAATAAAAAGAATGGAGAAAAATAAAGCAATTCATTTATGAATCATAGGTGGGACACCAGTCAAGGCAACTTCATTGCGAGTTTGAAAACAAAAGAAAAAAACATAGCACATTGATCATCAAAAGCTACTTTGAAAGGTCTAAATTGTAATCATTATTTGAGTTTTTGCTCGACTGGATAATAAAGATTGCAAAAAAGCGAAATAAAAGTAACGATCAGACGTGAAGTGAACATAATAAAAAAACAAAGCCTATAAATGCTGAATTGTTCAATTGGATCAATTTTCAACCGATTTTTTGCATAGTACAACTATCGCATAACAAAATAAATTTAAATAATATATTGCATGCTTTATCAACTTGTTCGATTGATGAAAAATTCACACTGACGGAGGTACCCAGTTCAGAAGGCGAAGAGTGTTTCTTGGTTATGAGCCAGCTTTAGGAGACAACAAGAAATCAGGCAAAAAGGAAAAAAAACAAAACAGCTTAAAAAAAGGAAAAAAGGAAATTAGGCAGCCTATTAGGGCTAAGAGGAGCTACTCTGTGTTTCAAGTTTCAACTCCTAAGGATTTGAGGAATTGCACAAGGAGCAGGGGTCGAGAAGAGGTAAATCCCTCCAAACTAGAAGCAATCAATGCCACTTTTCGTCTCAGGCTCCCTCGGCCATAATGGAGGGAGGGACACATGGATTATCTCATGTAAGGGATGCAGGACCCGTTTTTCAGCACTTTTATATAAGAAATTTCAAATCTGTTTAAAAAAGTAATAATTTTTTAAGGTTGTGGAGCATCACTTGTGGTTGGTCAGTGCTTGCTTTGTGACACACTGCACAAATTCTCTTGAGTGCAAAACTGTGCCAGCCTGGGCGATTAGTGGAAATTTTCTTGAGTGCAAAACTGGTCCAGTGATGATGTTCCACGCAAACCCCATTTCACCGCATGAGCTCCTTCCGCATTTCATAATATCTGCACAGCCATGGATGGGCCTGTACTGCCCCGCCAAAGGGCATATTTCCTGAAGCCCCTTTTTTTTTTTTTTTCTTTTTTTTCTTTTTTTTTTTTCTCCCTTCGATCTAGTCGTGGGATGATGCACTTGCTGGGAACCAGGCCCAGCATCCTTTGACAAAAATTAACAGAATCATCGAGTTTTTTTTTGCTTTGTCCTGCTGTAAAATTATTCCTAACGTCTGTGGAACATCATTTGTGGTTCATTCTGTGCTTGCTTTATGTTACACTGCAGAAATATAGGCTCCACCTTAGACGATCTGCAGGAATTTCTTCGAGTGCAAGGCTTCCCAGTGACACTGTTCCACACGGACCCCATTTATATCCCTATGTTCATCAACCGCATGATCTCCCTCCCCACTTGGTGATGCCTGCACAGCCCATGCCCGGGCCTCCACAGGCCCTCCAACAGGTACTCTCTCCCCTCGCCCCTCCTCCTCCTCCTCTCTCTCTCTCTCTCTCTCTCTGCATGCCCCTTCCAGTGTGAGTGGTAATCTAAGAAGAGTTTGCTGAAAAAGATGATGTATGACACAGCGTGAAAGTCTGGCAGTGCACACTTGCTGTAGCAGGTTGTGTGTGTGCTTCTAGAAGCATTCAGAGAACTGTCATAAGGACTTGGTATTGCATAAGGACTCAATTTCAGGAGTAAGAAGATGAGGACTGCATAGACCTAGTATGCTATTGATTGAGTCTAGGACTGCAGAGAGAGTTACGCTATCGTCTGAGTCTCAAGTGGGGCAAACTACCCACGCAACTTACCCACAGTAAATGATCAAACCAAGGGTTAAGAGAAACTACTGGGGCAAACGATTTGGTCAAACCTCCGCAAACTGTCAGAGGTTGGCCCTGAATAGTGTGACCCCCCCCCCCTCCTGCCGCTCCTTCCAATACCACCTGCGCAAGGTTTGATAGGACATCTTAAAACTGATAACTTGAGAGAGGAAGTGCAAGCGCGCCCACACACAGACACACAGGTATACTTCACTGCTGCCGGATTTCCATTTCTGTGATACTCCCTCATATGTACACAGATTTGCTGTGCCATGTGTCCCTTGTCTCACTCTCACAGTCTTCCTTGTGCATGTCACCCCCCCTTTGAGATGTGACGACTTATCGTGGGCTGTTTGTTAGAGTCCTGTTTGCACTATTATGTGTGTGTGTGTGTGTGCGTGTGTGTGTGTGTGTGTGTGTGTGTGTGTGTGTGTGTGTGTGTTCAATAGATTGGAGCCAAGGACAAAAAAAAAAAACAAAAAAAAAAACAACAGAAACAACGGCAGCCGCGGCATGTTTTGAGTTCGAATAGGCAAAAAAAACATGGGAGTGGCAGTGGAGGAAAGAGCAGAGTTCGAAAAGGCAAGAAAAACTGGGACCAGCGGTAATGTCAGGCCCCCAGTTGGAAAAAGCAGTAATGGCAGGCCAGATGTGTCCCAAGCTGTCCCAAGCTGTCCCGGTATCAACTACCCTAGGTCCCATGCCGTCACAGGCTGTCCCGGTATCAACTACCCTAGGTCCCATGCCGTCATAGGCTGTCCCGGTATCAACTACCCTAGGTCCCAGGCCGTCATAGGCTGTCCCTTGAGTCGTCGTGTTCGTTTGTCGAAGGGTGCGGGTGGGGGATGCTGCGCGGCCGTGTTTGCCAGGCAGCGTGGCATCGGCTGCATGTCTGCACGGCGGCGCGGCATTGTCTGTGTGTCGGGCGCAGGGGGGGGCAGAAGGGAGAGAGAGAGAGAGAGAGAGAGAGAGAGAG